GAGGGATGGGTAGGGGAGGAGGAGGAGGAGGAGGAGGAGGAGGAGGAGGAGGAGGAGGACGAGGCGGAGGAGGGGAGGAGGCGGAGAGGAGCAGGAGCAGGAGCAGGAGCAGGAGCAGGAGCAGGAGCAGGAGCAGGAGGAGAAAGAGGAGGATGCGGAAGGGGAGGAGGATGGGGAAGGCGGGTGGTGGGGGGACAAAGGGAGGGCAGGGAAGGAGGGAGAGCAAGGCAGTAGGAACGAGGATTATGACGACGATTCCCACATTGAGGGGGAGGAGGATGGTGAGGAGGAGGAGGATGGAAGAGGAGAATGAGGAGGACGATGATGGTGGTGGTGATGAAGAGGACGACAACGATACTGATGGTGATAACGATAGTAACGGTGTTCACGGCCATGAGGCGACCCTGAGAATGGACCGACCTGTTTGCAAAGGCTCGGCCCAGGACTTGTAGATTAATGGCAGGCTCTGGACCTCTGCGATTGGAGGAACAGAGCTCTTTAAGTATTGCAAGCGTTAGACCATGAGAAAGCAAGCATGCAAGAACCTGGTCGCTAGTCAACTGCGAAACATTGTGGACAACAAGCTGGGAGAGAGCAGGTGAGGAGGCAAGCGTGGGCGGAAGCACAAGCGACACACTCTCAAGAAGAGGGAGAAGGACACGGCAGTCGAACATATGGGTGATGCTATCGCCGCCATCAAGGCCGCAACCAATTCTGCACTTCTCACAATCCTGACGGTAACGCCCGCTAGTGGGGCAAACCTTGCACAGATATTTAAGATAGGCGACTCTCGTGGAGGGGAGCCAGGGACGATTGGCGAGTCTGAAATGAGGGAAAGCCCTGTTCGTGATGGCAACGGGAATTCGGGGATGAAGTACTCAACTCGGGGGTAAGATACCTGGAACATGGCCTCACATCAGGCCGACAAAGACGCTTGGTGACCTTGCCCTGGGAGTGGTTTGCATCCTCGTCAAACATATTCTGGAACCTGGCGATCGCCTCGCACTTCTACAGTCGTTGAACACCTACACGCAGATTGCAGTCGAGCCACTCCTTATGGCGAGCAACCGCAAGCACATCCCAGGACTCGTTGTCAAAGTACTCGAGCTGCGCTGCAACATGTCTTGGCATCGTTGCGAGTGAAGGGTCGCGCGATGCATGACAGCCCGATTCTCATGCACCATTGATAATTATAGGCCCTATCTTGAAATCATGACGATGCTGGTGGTGATGATAATAATGAGGAGGAGTGCGGGGAGGAGTCAGGGGAAGAGAAAAGGCTGGGAGGAGGAAGGGAAGGGGAAGCAGGCGGGAGGCGAGAGGGGGGGAGAGAAGGATTAGGTTGAACAGAAGGGCGGAGTGAGATGGGCGGGGGGGGCGCAGAGGATGATGAGGAGGAATGGGAAGTGACGCAGGCGAAGGATGAGAGGAGAGGAGAAGGAATGTGGAGATGTATGGGAGGAGCACGGAGCGGAAGGAAGGGGGGTCGAGAGGGAGTGGAGAAGGAGGGCGTGGAGGAGCGCAACAAGTAGGAAACCGCCTGGGACAAGCAGAGGAGGGGGATGGGGAGACATACTGGCAAGACGACCAGGGGGAGGAGGGGAGCCCCCCCCGGGGAGACGAGGAACGGCGGGCGACAGGCTGAGCACACGCTCCTGCCCGCGACTACTCTGCCTGCGCGGCGCCGCAGCCTGTGCGGGGGCGTGGGCCCCTCCCCCCTTAGCGCGGCGCCGCCCTCGCGGGGTGAGCGCCGGGCTCGAGGCTCGGAGCAGGGCAAGCTGAGACTCCGACCGTGGCCGCTCAACCTCTGCCCGCGGACCCCCCCTGGGGTGCCACCGCACCGATCTCTCCGGAGCTGCTCTTCGCCGTGGCGGCGAGGCGCCTCCGCCTGCAGGCCGACTGCCGCTGTCTCGACCCGCCCTCCTCTGAGAGGCGGGGCAGAGGAGGAGGAGGAGGAGGAGGAGGAGGAGGAGGAGGAGGAGGAGAAGGAGGAGGAGCAGGAGGAGGAGGAGGAGGAGGAGGAGGAGGAGGGGGCGCGAGGCCTGCTTCTCGAGCGCCTCCACCCGCTGCTCCTCGGGCGGACGGCACGCCCCCCAGGGCAACATACTTGAGACCACATGGGGGCAAGCGGGGCGCGCCAGGGCGCCTCTGGGACAAGCCTCCCCATCGGCTACACGCGACCCTGGGCAAGAGTGACCTTTTGTGCACGGCTTTGGGGGGAGTGGCGCCAGGGTTGCGGCAAACCCGCGCGCGCAAGCCGCTGCTGCCGCATCGCGTTCGGCGATCGGGGGGCCCCAATGGGCCCGCACCAAAGGTCACTCGGGCGAAGGGTCACTCGTCTTAGGTTGTCCCCATCGTAGTTGAGGACCACATTCCAGAAACAAGTTCGAACACCTGGAGGAGTATCGAAGCAGCGTCTGCCTGACACGGCAATTAGCGAAGGGGGTCCGACACGCGAAAGTCCTACACTCTTGGCATTATCCTGGTGCTCGAAATCCTTTCTTGCGATCAAGGCTCAAGTAGGTCGGAACATCATCACACTCGTGCGTGTGAGGCTTGCGCAGCATGCAGGACTACGTTCGCGCCGCCGGCCGCAGCACGGTCCCGCCTCGAGACCGCCTGGGCCCTGACGCCTGGGGCCGCGGGAAAACCGCCCAGCCTCTGACGAGAACTGCCCCCGCTCTCAGAGGCCCCCTCCTTTCGCCAGCACCGTGTCGGGGCGCTGACCCAAGAGACCCTAAAATAAGGAGCGAGGCCCCTTGTCCCCACAAGCTAAACTTCGATTTGCCCTGGAAAACCTCAGGAAAACCTCAGGCAAACTTTTTGAACAACGAAGGAACACCGAGTTTGGAGGTCGCTGGGGGGGCAGCATTGTTTCCAGGGCCAGATCCCAATACGCTCAGCCGGCGCGCTTGATCCGTCAATGAAAATTCTTACGACACCCATTCGCGACAAATTCGGACCTCAGGCTTGATTGGGCTGCTTAGGCTTGCTCTTACCCTACGAGCATTGCCTCCTCCTCCTCCTCCGTCGCCCCAGAAACACAGATCGCGTTCGCTGCCCCTCAGCGAGCTGAAAGACCGAGCCCCTCCCCAACGAACAGGGTTCCTTCTTCCGAGCCCCGGCTGCAACTTCGCACCGTGGGTTGACCTCTTCGGGCCCGCAACGGGGCGCCCGAAGGGCACTCGGCCTCCAACGCCCTCGCCGACGCCGCCCACGCCGCCAGGCCTACCCGAGCTCCCGCTGCCTGCCTCGGCCTGCCCGGTGCGCGCTGCCTGCTGGGCCCGCCCACTGTCGGCTGGCTGCCTCCGCCCCCGATGGTAAGTCGGGCGTGTCCCCCTGCAGGGGGACTTTCGACGAAAATAATTTAAAAAATACACCAACAATACCCCCAAAGGGTCAAAACATACTCACAAAAATAGACCCCATACTATTTTTGGATTATCTTTTGACTATTTTGGGGGTATTTTTTTTCATTTTTCGTCGAAAATCCCCCTGCAGGGGGACAGGCCCGACTTAACCCTGTGGGTGGCTGGTACCCGCCTGACCCCCCAACCGCCGTCAACGCATCGTCCTCTCTGGCGTCGTCGCCGTCTTTGCCCCCAGGCCGCTCCAGCGACTCCATGGCGGCGCCCTCCTTGGCTCGAAGCCTGGCCGCGAGGGAGGGCTCGCTGGTTGGAGAGGATTGCTCCCCGGGCGCCACGCACTCGTCCTCTCGGGCCGGTTCACGGGGGAGCGCAGGGGGTTGCGAAGTCTCCCTCGCCCTCCAACGCTCCTCCCCTCAACCTCGTCCTGGCCCTCCTCGCTCTGGTCCTCCCCTGCCCGTCGTGCCCTCCTGCCCCTCCCCTCCCCCCTCCCCCTCCCCCATCTCCTCCTTTTCATCCTCCTTGTCCTCCTCCTCCACCTCTTCTATTTTCTTCTTGTTCATATTATTCGTCCTCCTCCTCCTTTTCTTCCTCCTCCTCCTTTTCCTCCTCATCCTCCTCATCCTCCTCCTCCTCCTTTTACTCCTCCTGCTCCTCCTCCTAATCCTCCTCCTGCTCCTCCTCCTCCTCCTCTTTTTCCTCCTTCTGCTCCTCCTCCTGCTCCTCCTCCTCCTGCTCCTCCTCCTCCTGCTCCTCCTCCTCCTCTTCGTTCCCCCTTGGTCGCCCTCCCTCCTCGTTTGCCTCCCCACCGACCCCCTCCCCATCTCACGCCTCCTCCTCCTCCTCCTCTTTTCTTCGTCTCTTCTTCCTCATCCTCCTCCTTCTCTTCCTCCTCCTCGGCCTCGTCCTATTTACGTTTGACGAACGTAAGGAAGGAGCCTGTCGCGTTCTGTCCTCCTCCTACCTCTCCTCCTCCTCCTCCTCCACCACCTCCTCCTCCTAACCGCTGACGCGTCACCTAAACGCCCCCGTGCCCGCCACGCGCCCCGGGCCGCGACGGCTACACAGATACGGTCCCCGTCCGGAGGGGGGGAGGAGGAAAGGGGGTCACCCGCATTCATGCTCCACCTGGGGCTTTCAAGGCAAGGCATGAGATTGGTAGAGCGGGCTAACACTCAGTGGGGGATGATGTGCACACCGTAGACCCAGCTTGCTGGTAAAGCTGTGCACGGAGTTCCTTGTCTGAAACGCTGCAGAAGTATCCATCACGTCTGTAACATACGGTGTTGTACATGATGGCGGTGATTTGGATAAAAACGCCATGTAGTGGCATCGACGTAGCATCTCATGTAGCGATGTACTGGTTTCTGCTAGACCGTTGTCCGTCACGCTGTAGCAGTACGTGATCTTCTCCAGTTTCAGGCAGGCCCGCCTCGCCTGAAACTTGATTGGGGCCACCTTCCTGCGGGTGAATTCGTGGGGGGCGTTGCCCACCGAGCCGTCGACCCCGCGGACTTTCAATGTCTGGACGTTCAATTCCAACACCGCACATTCGTAGTACTCTCTGCCGTAGTTGCCCTCGGGAATGTATCCGACAACGCTTGGCTTTTGGTAATCCAGGTCTTCCGTGGACAATCGTGTTCGTCTCGTGGCCCTTGTAGTACAGTGGCTGGTCCTGGTCGCTCAGCTGGTGGTCCCAGTAGCACTGCATGTGGCTCCCGCAGCTCAGCGCATGGGGCTTGCAGCTCAGCTGGTGGCCCTGGTAGCTCTGCTCCTGGCTCTCGCGGAACAGCGGGTGGCCCTGGTAGCACGTCTAGTGGATCTCGTAGCTACGCCTGCGGCCCTCGCAGATCAGCTTACAGCTCTGCTCGTAGCCAATTCAATTCAGTTCGTTGCCCAGGTAGCTCTGCAAATGCCTCTCCTAGCTCTCCTTGCGGTCCGCGTAGGTCAGGTGGTGGCCCTCGTAGTAGAGCAGGTGGCCCTCGTAGCTGAGCTGGTGGTTCTCGAAGCTCTGCTCCTGGCACTTGCAAGTTAGCTTATCGCTCTGGCAGCTCGCAACATGAACACTCACAACAAGACAGAGGCACGAGGAGGCTGCGTCCAACGCGTTCAGGAAAGGCTCTGCCGGAACGCGCTGGAAACTTGGGAGACTCTAGTCTTTCTTCTTGTGGCCCGCGTAGCCCAAGTTGTGGCCCTCATAGCTTCGCATGTAGGGCTGCGCGTGTGGCCTGTGCAATATAGCTCGTCGCCCTGGTAGCTCTGCTGGTGGCTGTAGTAGCTTTACCTGTGGTCCTTACTTGTCGTCCTGGAATGTCCGCTGGTGGCCCTGGTACGGCTGCCGGTGGCTGTAATAGGTCTGCCTGTTGCCCACGAAGCAGATCGGGTGCCTCATGTAGCTGAGCTGGCCGTCCTCGTGGTGCAGCTGGTGGTCCTCGTTGCTCTGCTTATGGCCCTCGTAGATGAGCTTGCGGTCCTCGTAGTTCTGGAGGTGGCTCTCTTAGCTGTGCCTGAGGTCCTCGTACTTCACCTTGTGGAGCTCGAAGGACTGGCAGTATTCCTGCTAGCTCTGGTGGTAGATGTACTATTTCTGTTTGTGGTCCTGGAGGCTGAGGTTGTGACCCTCGTAGCTTTGTAGGTGGGCCTCGTGTCTTGGACGGTGACTCACGAAACTCTGCTCGTGAGCTTGGTAGCTGAACTGGTGGCTCTGGTAGATCGCCCAGTGCTTCTCGTAGCCCTGCTCGTGGCACCATCCGCTGTCCACACCCCTTTGAATTCCTGGATCGGGCCTTTCTCCTTCTTCACCTCCTCTTTCGCCTGTGATTCAGCCGACTGTCCTCTTGGCCCTGCTTACGGGTGTCGTAGCTCAGGTGATGGGTATGATACTTATGCGTTTGGCTCTCGAAGCTCTCGTTGCCATCGTCGTTTGGCTGATTGTTCTCGAAGCTCTTCTGGAGGTTGTCGTAGTTCTGCTGGTCGTCGGAGCTCCGCTGGTCCTCGCTGCGGAGCTTGGGTGTCCTCCTCGCGCTCGTACATCTGGCCCACGAAGTAGCCGAAGAGTACGTCCGCCTGTACGTCCTGTTGGACATCGGACTCCACGAGGTCGGGGTCGGAGTCTTCGGCTGCCAAGTCGTGGTGCTCCACGTTCTGGGTACAAGCGCCACGCATGCGATCGTGCTGGTCGCGCGCGGCTAGTTCGGTAGGAGGCCCTGGTGCCACAGCTGGCCGTGATACTCGAAGCTCGGCTGGTGGCCCTCGTATCGCTCGTGGTGGTTCTCGAAGCGCTGCTGGTGGCCCTCGTTGCACAGAGGGTGGCTCTCGGGGCTCTGCTTCTTGCCCTCGTAGCTCTGCTGATGGCCAACGTCGCGTAGCAGGTTGCTCTGGTAGCTCTGCTTGTGGATCTCGTAGTTCTGCGTGTAGTCCTCGTAACTATGGTGGCAGAATGAGAAGCCTGTGTGCGGTGCATTCGCCGTAGCACTGCCCGTTATAGGCGTCGTAGTCGTACACGTCGTAAGCGGCGCGGCAGTTGTCCATGGTTACCTCCACGACGACGTACTAAGTAACACCGTGGGGCTGCTCGGTCGTGTCGTGCCTGGTGTCGATCCTGTTGGCGTGCTTGGTGTCGTGTCTCCTCCTTCTCCTCCCCGTTCACCGCTTCCTCTGCCCCTCCTCCTCCTCCTCCGCCCCCTTCTCCTCCTCGTTCTCCCTTTTCTTCCCTCTAGAGGGAGGCAGAACGAATGGATGGGGAGCATCAGCGCTGGCGCCCCCGCGCGTGCCCCCGCCCGTGCAGGACGCGAGCTCGAGAGGGAGAGAGCGAGGAGGGGGAGAAGGAGGGGGGGAGGAGGAGGAGCAGGAGGAGGAGCAGGAGGAGGAGGAGGAGGAGGAGAGGAGGGAGGAGAGGAGGGAGGGAGGGAGGGAGGAGGTAGGAGGGAGGGAGGGAGGAGGAGGAGGAGGAGGAGGAGGAGGACGGGGGGGGGGAAGGTGAGGAGGAGGATGAGGAGAAGGATGGATAGCTGCTGAAGGTCGAGGCTGTCGAATCTTCTCGAGCCGACGGACGGACGCCCAATGCCCCAGTGAGACCCGTGCACGGGTTGCATAAACATCGACCTCCCCGCGACCTACGGTCAGCCTGACAAACGGATGCATGTGGCCCCGGGGTGCGGAAGGAGGAGGGAGGAGGAGGGGGAGGAGGAGGAGGAGGAGGAGGAGGAGGAGGAGGAGGAGGAGCAGGAGCAGGAGGAAGAGGAGGCAGGGAGGAGGAAGAAGCCGCAGGCGGGAGGAAAAGAGAAAGAGGAGGGAGAGCAGCGAGCAAGCTCCGGGTCCTGCGACGCGAACTTGACCATCCTCCCCCCGCCCGGCGACCCGGGCCGGGCGGCCGCGACCTTCGCCTCCAGCGCCGCCAGGCGCCGCTCGGCCTGCTCGCTGCGCGCCGCCAGCGCGGCGGTCTCGCCCTCGAGGGCCTCCGCGCGCTCCTGGCGAGTCGCGAGGGTCTGCCCGCGGCAGGTCCGTGCCGCCTTCTCGGCTGCGGTAGGACCCGATGGGTGCTCGGCCACAAGACACCTTCCGCAAGAAACCCAGCCCTGGAACCCCAGGATGTCCATGGATCCTTGGTGAGGGAACGTCGGCACGCTCCCCATGGCAGAACCATCGCAAAATCCAGGAAACCCAGGGCACCCTTGGGCCAAGCAGGGTGCTTCTTCAGAAAAAGAAAGCACGCCATAATTAAACATAAACTTTTCGCGCTCCGCGCGGATTTCTAGGATCCGCGCCCGACCCCCCTGCCTTCCGCGCAGCGCGCCAGGGGCGGCGCATCCGGCGCCGCCGCAGGGCGCGCCGCGCAGAGCCAAGACATCCGCGCGCAGCGCCAAACGTTTATGTCTATGGCGATCTTTCTTCTTCGATTCTCGGTATAGGTTCCCACCGAACGACAGCTTCGCGTCGTGACGGCTTCGTCGGTGGCTCCTTCCCTCCCCTCCTCCTTCTTCTCCTCCTCCTCTTCCTCCTCCTTCTACTCCCCCTCATCCCCCTCCTCCCCCTCCTCCTCTCTCCTCCTCCTCCTCCTCTCCTCTCCTCCTCCTCTTCCTCTCCTCATCCTCCTCCTCCTCCCTCCTCCTCCTCTTCCTCCCTCCTCCCCTCTCCTCCTATTCTTCCTCCTCCCTCCTCCTCCTCTCTCCTCCTCCTCCTCCTCCGCCTCCTCCTCCTCCTTCCTCCTTCCTCCCCCTCCCCTCCCCCTCCTCCTCTCCTTCCTCCTCCTCCTCCTCCTCCTCCTCCTCCCCTCCTCCTCCCTCTCCTCCTCTCCTCCTCTCCTCCCTCCTCCCTCCCCTCGCAGCAGCAGCATCATCAGCATCAGCATCAGCATCAGCATCAGCAGCATCACCATCAGCGCATCAGCATCAGCATCAGCATCAGCATCAGCATCAGCATCCCAGCATCAGCGCAGAATCATCATCATCAGCATCATCATCAATGCATATCAGCATCATCATCATCACCATCCAGCCCACACCATCACCATCACCATCATTCATCATCATCATCATCATCATCATCATCATATCATCATCATCATCATCATCATCATCATCATCATCATATCATCATCATCATCATCATCCCCTTCCTCCCCCTCCACCCTTCCCCTTCTCCTGCTCGTCATCCTCGTCCTCCTCCCTCCTCCTCTCCTCCTCCTCCCTTCCTCCTCCTCTCCTCCTCTCTCTCCTCTCCTCCTCTCCTCCTCCTCTTCCTCCACCTCCTCCCTTCTTCCTCCTCCTCCTCGTCCTCCTCCTCCTCCTCCTCCTCATCGTCCTCCTCCTCCTCCTCCTCCGCCTCCTCCTCGTCCTAGCAGCGCGCGCCCGGGGTGTGGGGCTGCCCGCGCGTCGCGCCCAGAGCATGTCCTGCCGGAGGCCCCCGAGGCACGGCCCGGAGGCCGGCCCGAAGACGCCGCTCGGCAGGCTCGTGAGGTGCTCGTTCTGGGGACCTTCTTGGCCAAGAAGGTCCCCAGAACGAGCATCTCATCGAGGACCCCCCGCTCATTGATGAGAGATACTACCGCGCGCCTCTCCCCAAAAGTTTGAGCATGTTTGCCATGTCGTGAACTCGGGCGCGCTCGCGGCCACGGGGGCCCGATGGGCCAGACTATGGAGAGTGGATGCGTCGTCATCATCTCCGTCACCGAGAGCCCAAATCATGTTCATCATTGCTGCCATCATCTTCAGCAATCTGAAATGCTTAAAAACGCGAGGTGCCTTTATGCCCCCAAACCCCCTTCTTGGAGCCACTCGCTCCACTCGTGCGTCGAAGCTGCGACGAACGTCCGTCGACCCGCGTCGAAGTCAAGTCGAACCTGAATCGAGCCTGACTCGAACCCGAGTCGAACCTGAGTCGAACTGGAGTCGAACTGGAGCCGACCAGATCCATACCGAGTAGGCCCCAGAAAAGTCCCCCAAACGAGCATCGAAGGCTCGTGCCGTGACGACCCCGAGTTCGGCTTCTGACCCCGCGTGGATCGTTCCGCTTTGAACCCAAACCCCCTCGGGCAATGAAACAGAATCATGGCGGGAGGGTTTTCTCAATTTTCGGCCTCCGGGGGCCCTCGACGGGCCTCGGGACCGTCGAAAAACGACTCGGGAGGAAAAGCC